CTGTACATCGAACATAAAAAAAAATTAATACACTCACATGTGGAAGCTGAAGCCTGGTTCCCGTTTTCTGGAGGGCATCGCAGCTTCTTAGCTGACGCAATCAGATGTATCGCTTTCCGGCTCGGTCAGCTGGCGATGTCCCTGCGCTCTGGCCAGTGCGACGCGATATCATCTCCTAGCAACCAGATGAGCGTGCCCACAAGTGCGAGGAGGAGCGCTGCTACTCTTCCCTACTTCCGGCTTCACAAAATGTCATGTCACAGCCTCTCCTCAGTTTTTTTCTTCCTCCATGGCCGGAGCAAAAACAACGCAGCGAATGTTTACAAAAACTACTTGCTATTAAACGAATTGTTTTTTTATGTGTAGTGGTACGCAAATACGTAGTATTCAATCATTTTAGAATCGAAACTCGGGCCCGATAAGGGCGCCCCTACAAAAAAAGTGCACTAGTGCGAGTGGCGAGAGAGGTTAGTAAATCCTCTCCGGATGTTTGAAGCAAAAACGCCCCGTTGGTGAGGTGTGCGCCGAGGTCGTTTCAACCGGCAGTGGAGTGGAGGTCGTTCCGAGTCGGCGGCTTCGTCAGCGCACGCCGGGCAAAATGATCGGCGGCGGCGCATGGCCACTTTTCATCGTCGGCGGCGGCGAAAAAACCGAAACTACAATTTGAAACCAATACTACAATTAAAAAAAGCTACTTTACTGTGTTTTTTCTGCTCATTTAGCGGAAACTCACTACGTTTAACAGTAATTCCTGAGAGATGTGGTGTACACGTATCCCGAAGGAGTACCGCCACCAGCGTGGGTCCGGTCTTAGCGAGCCGCAGGGCACGCGTTGTGCACCGGTGCACCGACAGCGTCTAGTCGCCGGTGTGCACCAACCTTTAAGGTTGGTGCACACCGGCGACTAGACGCTGTCGCGCGACCATTTGCGACTGGCGACCAAACTGCGAGCGACGTTCACACTGGCAAGGCTTCATGCGAGCGACCGGAAGTCGCAAACCCGGAGAGTCACGTACAGATCTCGTTATCAATGAGAACTTGGGCGACCGGCGACGATCAGCTGATCAGATACGGAGCCCGCTGAGCGCGATGCGTTTGTTTTTGACGGCTGTGTTTGCGTAGCGTTCTCCCGGCAGCATCATAGACTTCGAGTCAAGTAATGAAGAAGAGGTTGTGGCGGTGCTGATGTGCTCAGCCAACGTGTAAGCGCTGGCAGCACGAAAACGTTCAAAGCAAGCAAGGCGGTGGTGGGTGAGACCGTCCCTTCGCTCGCGAGAAGTGGCTGGCCACACAGGGCGTCTGCTTCCCGACTTGCGCTCGCACGACGAGGAGTATTTCCGAGAGTAAGTTTATGGTTAATTTACGTGCTTATAAGATAGTGCATAACATGTTATCGCATTCTTCTTTTGGTGGTTAGCTTCATGCGGATGCTTCCACGAACGTTCGATACTTTGCTCGAACTGCTGCGCCCCGCAATATCCAAGCAGGACACAAACCACCGGCCTACACTTTCGGCGCACGACTGCCTGGCCATGACCATTAGGTAAGAGCGTGTGGTTTGAAGATTAATATGCTGTGGCTTGTGGCTGCGCTTCGCTTGTAAGGAAGTTTCGCTTGGGCGGATAGAACGAATTGCATTTATGACGTATGCGGGCTCGATGGTGCAGTCGTTACTGCGGTCGGCAGTTTAGGCGTAAATGACGGGTTTGATTACGGCCGCATCGATCGCCTTTAGGTGGAGGCGAAATGCATTTAAGTTGGCGCGTCTGTTGCGCACGTACGTTAAAATCTCAGGTGGTGAAATTTCGAAAACCATCTGTTGTGGCTTATTGCGTAATCACTACGTGGTTTCCGCTTGTAAAATCCCAGAAAATGGGATTCTGCACTACACAATGCCATTACATTTCGGGCGTGTCAGTTTCAGTTTTCTGTTTTCCTGATGCGCAGATACTATATGAGCGCAATTATTAATGATGTCATAAAATAAGTGAAACACTATCCTAAGCTTAGCGTGTACAATTATGCACAAATTGTTAGGACAAATTCATGTGCTGTTCGAGGCGCTCAAAGAGTATTCATGCCAAAAATATTTTTCAGCATCGGGGAGGGAGGAGGTTTAACCAACCACACTTTATGTATCTGCATGCACGACGGTGTGTGTTTGCACAAGTACACATGCAAAATTTCTCACAAACATGAGTAGCGTTTAACCCCTGCACCTTGCTACAATTTTACGTATGTTCTGTTAAATTGACAGTGACCCAATACACTGTGGACAGTAGCGCAGTGGCAAAACGTATTGTGGACGGTAGCACATTCTGTGAAAGCAATTTAAACAATAGACTTGAGTGATGTACGTTTTGCGAAATAGGTTCTCCTTGAATTTACAGCTTTTCAGAAATCCATGCTAAGCAAATTGCTACAGGTACGTTTAGGTTGCCCTTCTTCAACCTGAGTGATATGAGCACGTACGCTCTTCCATGAAAAGGTTGATGCATGCTTATGATTCGCCAAAATGTGTAGGCACAGAAATATTCACTGCATATACGACAGCTTGCAGAGTGCACAAGCAGTGCGACCGTTCGCGACCAGTCGCAAATGGTCGCGCGACCGCTCCTAGTCGCCGGTGTGCACCAGCCCTAATTAGGTTTAACTGTACAGCGCAATCGTTCTCTCAAAAGTGTACAATGGTTTTGTCCAAATGCGAGCAGTTGCTGACCTTGGCTGTCATGGAACTTGACATATCGAAATTTCTAAAGTTAGTCAGTAAATATGCATTCTATCAGAAGCTGTGATGATGCCGTAGAAAATAGACAGCAGAGGTAGCGCTCATTAATACATAAAAATGAGGAACACTTTGGCAATGTAGCGTCATGACTACGACACTGAAATGCAACTATGCGTGAGATTTTCAAGCTCAGCATGCTCCTTTTACAGTGTGTGTCTTCCATCGTGGCTGTGCCGACAGAAATTTCACATGGCACTTATGCGTTTTAGGTATGCCAAGGAAGTGCGAGATAAATTGGCGCACTACTTCGTCACAGACGGTCAGGTGCCTTGGCAGGACAAAGTGGTGAACAGCACTTGAGGCGTACAAGGTGAAGGTGGGTTGTAAATGCATTTTATTGCTTACAGAACTTATGTACACAGCATCTTCTTAAGCTAAACAAACAAGAGAAAAATCACCCGTGACACAACAGATACATTACAGGGAAAACTGTCATGTCCAAATATAACCATGAAAACACAAAAATAAATAATTAATGTTAAAAAATTTGAGTTATTGCACGGTTATCACTACAATTATCACAGAAATAAGTTGCCCTAAAGGGGGTCACGACACCCAATTTTCAACCATAATGTGTGTTGTATGAGCTGATTCTTGTATGTTCAGATACAAGCTGGCAAAATTCGAGCGATTTCGTCAAGCTGCTAATTTTTAATCGCATATTTTTATAAACGAGCTAGTCGCCTGACAGTTGGGTAATACTGACGCACTCACTATCCATGACATCACGAACCGCTTGCTCGACAAGCTGCTGCACAGTGTGCATTTTGGCAGACGGTCGTGTTCCGGCATCAACTGCGCTTGCATTCAAATTTTTTCGCATTGTTGAACTCTCCACTAAAGCTAAATGACTTCCAGGGGTCGAAACATGGCTACTGTGTCAGCAATGTAGCGCTGGTACTTGCAGCAAATAGTTTCGGATATCAAAATGGGTCCTGTGAATGTGCAATGCGTATACCATTTGCCATTGCTCCTTCGGCTTGTGACGTCTCGCATGCCATGACAAAATGGCGGTGACTTGTGGTAGGTTGAGTTTTAAGAGCCGAGCACTTCTACGGCATATTTTTGATTAATATGATCTCTTAAGGCCCCTTTTCACACGTGTACTAGCACATTTTACTCTGTAGTTTTGTTTTGACAACCGTCAATTGTTGAGTGACCAGTCATGACCCCTTTAAGTTGAGACTAGAAAAGTGAACACAAGATAAAAAAAAGATGGGTGTCATTGACATTATTTAAACACTTCAATTTGCTTCACTGCTCTGATGCAATTTTGCCTCTGCTTCATACAGCATAAGTTCTACTGCATGCATTACATCTTGTGCAATGTGCACTGGTAGCTCTCTGAGGCGTGCATCGGTACGTAGAGCGAAGAAACCAATGTTATCTTTTTTGATGACCCCCTTGTTTGCTCTGATGTGTTCAAGGTGCTCCATGCACGCTTGCGCCACAGCTTCATGGCTTGTGCCCTCTCCTGCATTGCTGCAAAGCAAGTGTGATCTGCGATTCATGCATATGAATGCTTTAAGGTTGCATTGTTACTTCATGAAGCACAATTTAGCAAAAAAAACTGTGTGAGAACGACAAGGTAGAAACAGAAGAAACAAGACAGAGCACTGACTTTCAACTGATGTTTGTGCTTTTCGGCACTAAGAAAGAAAAAAATATAGAGGAACTGAAGCAAACTAAATAGCACACTTAGAAGATAAATGTGTCAATAGGGCGTCTACCTCTCTGTGAAAAATAAATGGGCTTTTGATCTTTGAAACGGACACTCGTGTTTTGGGACAGGGTGCTGATGTTCTGATATTAACGCCTAAATATTACGGTAGTTACATGGGTTCTGTCTGCCTTAGTATAAATGTGCCCACAATAAAAACATCAGTTTAAAGTAAGTGCTCTATCCTGTTTCTTCTGTTTCTACCTTGTCGTTCTCACACTCTTTTTTGTTACTATGTCTGTGTACCAACTTGACCGAGCGTTAACCTTATAAAGTTTTGTATTTTGTAGCATGCGCAGGATTGTTAGAAAAAAATCTGCAAGTTTATCCTCTAAGAGTTAGCGGTATATCTCACCTAGCGCCCTTGCAGGTTCGTTGTCGTCTTGACGAGCGTAACCTGCAGTGAATTATACATATTACTTAAATGTACACAAAGAGATCCTTTTCGAAAAGTTGTGATTGTGATCTTTTACCAGGAGTACCTAAAATAATTTTTTTGTTTACACACCGTTTTGATGGTGGCTGCTCTCTTGAGGTGGTTGCTGAAGCATCACTGCAGAAGGAGGCAGTATTATTATACAACTTATAAAGTGTTACAATTGCATGCAGCAGAATCTGGTGTGAAAACATTAGGCACATTCTCCAAATGTGCTAGAACATGAAGAAGGTTACAAAACATGTTTTTAAGATTTAATAGATTGGCTGTCTATGCATGTCCTTCATTTGTCATTACTTAGGTGGATTCATAAAGGTTTTACTCATTGCTGCAGGTGTCGACACCAGTCCCCTCAGCCGTATCAGGGGTACGTTCCGGTTCCGCTGCATGGCTTGGCCGAGGTGGTGATCTGCAGTGATGAAAACTTCTCTCTATGTATTTGATGATGCCACTAGTACATGAACAGTTTTAGGCATTCTTTGGGAGTTAAAATGCCATTATGATTTCACTCAACACGAGGTTTATTTTACACTTGCGTTACCTCTTGATTGAGCACTGCTGTATGGAAGGTGTGCATACAGAAGTTTAATGTGCCTATTATGTTAATAAAATGCTATGTAGGCTGTGCATCTAAATGAGAACAAGAAATATTGTCACGGAGATGAAGTAAAGGTAGAGGAAGAACTCAAGCAGCTGATAAGCACGCGAGGGTGTTAATCAGCCATTGTGAATCTTGCCTGTGGGTTTTTCCCTGTAAACGCATTTTGTACAAAAGTCTCTAACCCCGTAACAATATCTCACTGGCTATGTGAATGAAATTTATACAGTCAATCCTAAATGGCTGTGCAAACGATGTGTCTGATGAAACTGTGCCTGCTGTCATTATGTTTCTTGAACACATGCTGCATACGACTTTTGCAGCATCATTTTACTGCTAGGAATGAGTGAATGCTTCACATTATTCAGCTCACTTGTATTGCAATCAGCGCTGGGCACTTGTTCATAACGAATTGACATGAATGTGTTGCCAGTGTATGCAGATAATGCATTAGTTTGCTTAATTGCAGCCTGTCGCTGATGAATACTTTGCTTTTTCAGAAATATTTGACGTTGTACAATAACCACATTCACACAAAACAATGCCTGTGCCCTCATGTATTGTTGTGTGCTTTTGTTCAGTGTTGAGTGCTGAATGTATTTAAAAAAATGCAGTGGTTTGGGCAAGCTAACGATCTGAACACCGTCTTTCTAGCGCGCTTGTATTTTTCATAATTTTGCAAAGTACAATCACCTAGTAATAAAAAATAATGTTTCTAGGTTCAAGTCCATGCGTGTACAGCTTCAAGTGCATGCACATGGTACCGAAAATTTTTGTGCATGCTCACCTCTCGTTAGCCTCTTCTGCTGTGATGTGGCTGCTGCAAGAGAACATGCAATATGTGATTCTGTCAGTGCTATTGTTTGCATTTTTAGAGCGTTTTCACGGTTTTGCTACAATATAAGTACTTATGCTACATTGTAATGAATATGTGCAATGCTTGTCTATGAACAGCCTCATGACACATGCAATAAGCAATCTCTTCAGATTTTTAGATTTTGTATTAAGCCTTCCTTCTTTTGGTAAATGAGAGCCGAGAATGACACAGAAAGTACACTCAATTCTCTCATTCTTACTGTTCTGTCTTCAATATTCTGTTTTGTGAAGCTGTCCATGTGTTACTTGTACGGTATGCTATATTTTTTGCGTTGCGCTGCTGCATTGTGCTATGCTAACCAAAACATTTCATTTTCTGTTCAATGGAGGGTAAGCATTATTCATTACCTTTGGTCAATGGCACTCATGTTGCACAGTACCCTGAAAGAATGATGCACAGAGTTATTCTTCGTAGCTGTAGCCACAATTACTCGACATCAAAACAGCCCATCGCCACCATGTTCATGATCACATGCATGCCCACTGTGAATTACCTCTTGGGACTTTTATGTTTATGTGCAGTGTACTTATGTGTATTGATATGTGTGTAATTATGTGTATGTATAACAGTCATGTGAATTAAATCAACTTTTTTTGTTTAGTACTCAATAGTCAGCTAATATTGAACTTAAGCCACAGGCTCAGATTCTCCTTCCATTAATTCAAGCATGGCCTCAAAATGGGGCCATTTTATTGTTGGAATGTCGGCTGCTCCGGCTCCACTTCTTTGTCTTTCACGTATATCTTGTTGTTTGCTTTTGAAGATATCACGCAGGTTCTTAAATCGTTTCTCAACAAGGACACCTGAAAACAAAACCCTTGCTGTAAGAATGTATTGTGCATACTGTATTGCTGATAAACTTTCTACTTTATTTCAGCACAATTGTGAGCGGTCTTTATTTTCTTTGCCCAGATCATTTCGGCTGCAGCACCCTAGAAATCTGAATATTGGGCATCAAAATGAATCACATGCCATCTAAACTTAAGTATTGGTAGGGGCTTAAACATTGCAAAATCTCTGCCCATGATTGAGGGAACCTGCAGCCGAGGGTTCCAGAAATGCCGCCCACCTAGTGTTTTCGACCGTCCACCTACATGTGCACGACATCACAGCTGATGCAATGATTAGTTGCGCAAAGAGTTATGTACACTGTTTCTTGAAGGTAAGCATGTCTGCCAAGCTATTGTAACAAAGAGGCTGTTTATACTGTCGGCAATTGAAGTTCACTTGCAGAAAGTCTACTTCATGAACCAGCACATGATGTCTTTATCTCCTTCAGAGTGAAACTTTCTAAGCATTACTGCATTGTGCAAAACTCCACAGGTGAGTATATACCATTGGTATCGGCCAAGCGAAACTGTCGTGTACAGCGGGAGCGATTGTTGTCAAACAAAAGCAAACATGTTAAACAACTTGAAAAGAAGAATGAAACTAACTAGAGCAAGATGACAATTTTTGAGAGAAAGAAATGCAACAAACATAGTATATGACTCAAAGTGTAACATAGAGAGAGCGAGAGGAAGAAAAATATAAGAAAATAAAGGGACCAAAACATGAAAACATACCAACACATAGAAGCAGATATGAAAAATTCACTTTAAAATATAGGAACAAAGAAAACAAACAAAAACGAGGCACAGTTGGAAGCGGAGAGATATAACCTCTGGGAATAAAGGAATAATCGAAATATAAAGGCACCAATAGACAAAAACGCAGGAGAGGAAAGCAACAGTTGTGAAGAAATGAGGATTAGATATGGGCCACATTACAGAGGAATAAATTCCCCCATCTGTGCTTTCCTTCAGTGTTCGCCCAGCCACTAGAACACTATCATATCTTTTTTTTTTACGATTGCATGTCATTTGGCATCAACAGCATGTCTGACTCCCAAATCTGGACATTTGAGAGTGCTGCTAAACATGTTTTGTATGTCTTAATTACACGCTCCTCTATGGAGTGCACAAAATGCGCTCAAAGCAGAAGCTACTTTGCATTCTTTTTTAAAACAGCACAACTGCAATGCATAGGCAGAATTAAAGCGTAACACCCCCCCCCCCCCCTCACCGCGCAATAGATATTATGCATTGCAAATGCCGCACGTTCACAAAAGCACACATTCCCTTGGCCAGACGATGACGTACAAACACAGCAAGGAGCATGCGCTAGGTGAGTTGGCAACTGCGAGCAGTATTTCGAACGTCTGAGCTTTATTATCAGCTATACAATGTTCTGTCATGTCAATTTCGATGTTAAACTCGGAAAGTCGCGAGAACAAACGTGCACACAACTGCGCTCGCATACATCACAGTCAATACAGATGTATTGACTGTGATGTGATGTTTTAGTTTGCATGTATACAGATGTATACATGCAAACTAAAACCTTGCAGTACAAATACCAATATTTTCATTGTTCATTCATTGGCAACGCCAGCCATGCAGTACACACCTGTTCTTGCTTATATAGCTACTCAAACAAAAATCTCGGTACTTACTCGACATGCCGAACATGCTTCCTATCTCTGCCCAAGCCCGGTCCTTCTTTGTCCGATCTTTAAAAGAAGGGTGCCGCTCGTCATACAGATATGGGTACATTTTAATCGCGTCGATGAGGAGCTCGGCCGAGTACCCAAAGCTGGCCGTGGTGGCATTCGCCTGATGCGAGGAAAAATCCACGGAGGAACGTACGTGTCGTTCGTACCTCACGACAGTAGGCAAGCGCAACGAGAAAAAAAATAACATACGAGGTGGCCGGATGTAAACAAAGGCTGACGTCACTTCTGGTCTTCGCTGATTGGTTAAACTGTTTTGCGACTGCAGTCGCGCGACCAAAAAATCGGTCAGGAAGCGACTGGCCAAAACAGTCGCTTTGCGACCGTTTGCGACCGTTCGCGACTGCTTGCGACCAGTCGCAAATGGTCGCGCGACCGCGGCTAGTCACCGGTGTGCACCGTCGCCGTGGCGAGAACACGATACTGCTTAAAGTCGCAACACTTTATTGTCTGTGGCCACCGAACGCAGTACAGCCCGTTGCAAAGGCGCGACGGGAAAGCAAATAGGCTTATCCATGCCACGGGCACAAAAGTACTACACAGGGTGCCATGAGCATGTCTCCGCGGTAAAGCTGATCCATGGAGACACCGGGACCAAGGCCCGGTTGCTCGAGCGAGGGCAAAGGCGCTGGCGTTGGCTTCGGAGGGAGGCGGGTCGGCGTAGCTAGGCCACGCACTAGGACACTGTACCGCCCTTCGGCCGTGCGTATGCAGTGGGGCAACAAAATGTGAGCGTTCGCCTCTGGCGCGAGGCGCCGTCAGCGAAGTGCGACGAGCCCCGAGCGACGGGAGTCGACGGACGCAAAAGATTGCGTGGCTCACCGTTTTGCAGTCCCGGGAGTATCTATCTGCCCCAAGGAGGTTTAAAAAAGTTTTTTTTAAACCTCCTTGATCTGCCCGCTCCCGACACAGCGTGCGAAAACCTCTTGGGAGACTCCGCGCGCGGCGCCACAGTCAACATCCCCTACCGGGTGAGGGGGTTAAACGTCACTCTGCTCTCCCAGCATGGCAGACAGCTGAGGAGGGGAGACATGTCGGGACATGAGAACGGCAGAAAAGGCGGCAAAGCCCGCGCAAAGGCAGCGGGCTAGCCTCAATTCCCACACCCCCCTCTCCTAAATTTGCCCTTTACCGGTCTGCAAAAGACAGCCGGACATCACCCATGCAGTTAAAATGACACTGCTATGAGCGACAGCTAACCTCAGTCCAGCCCTGTTACTGCTGCTAAAAAATGATGACAAAGGAGAAAAACATTAATAACAAAATAAACACATGGCATTATAAAAATAATTGCGAAAGGGAGCACAGGAAAGTGGGATTAGTGTTCGTGGTGCTTGGGAGGGATAGCGTCCACCGCGCGGAGGGGCGGAAGAGCGTGTCAATGTCCGCTAGGTGCAATACCCGAGTGCGAGGTCAGAGGCAGGGAAGGGGACTCTCTGATAAGTCGTTGCTGCTCTTGATTAGCCGCGAATCCGACGAACGCCGCTTCGGTTGAGGTTCTTAGGCCCCGCATTTCTGACTCGATGACGGAGCTGGGACGTTGCGGGAAGCCGGGCCTCTCCAGTGATCACGGAGGCCGAACCAGAATTGGCTGCGAGGCGCCCTGGCGTTGCCGGCAGCATACAGCTGCTTTCAGCTGGCCTCCCGCAGGAGCCATGGTGCGAAAGGTAGCAGGGCTTTTTCGTCGACGGCCGAGAGCAGAGCACAGCCTCTGTAGGTCAGTTCCCCGAGCACCTGTAGTGTCCGCGTCGATGGGGCGAAGCCACGACGCGCACTCTTCACGGGCACGCACTGAAGCGTCACGCACATACACACGCACAGAAGCACGCACACACACACACACACCGCCGACAGCTGCGTGAGCGTAGGCGCAAAACGTCGTTGGTCTCTCTCTCCGGGCATAAGCACCGACACTCAAGGTCACACACAGCTCCCTTCGCGGTCAACGAAATAACACGAAAAAAGTAAAACAGAGCAAAATGACACTCAATCCCTGGCTAAAAGAAAATAAAAAAACATAAAATACAAATAACACTTAATATTGTCGCGGGTTATAAATTACAGGGGGTTTATTTAAAAACACGGACAGTGGGACTTGTAGAGACGCTCTCAGAGAAGGCCGCTAAGATTGTCGTCTTCTTCACTCTGCTGCGCTGCACCTCTCGAGCAAATCCGCGTTCTTCGTTGTCGTCGCTATCTCGCCGCTAAAGGCAGCTATGCACGCGGCATTACCCTCCCGCCAGAGTGAGCGTCGTCTCGACGCTCAACAGGTAGAGATGCGGCCATCGAGTGTTTACATCACTGAGAGTGGTAAAGTTTCATGCGGACCACGTGCACTGTCTCAGGCAGATGCTGGCGACGTTTGGAACAGGAGGAGGCGTCGGGCATGACTTCGTACGTCACGTCGCTAAGACGGCGCAGAACCTTGTAGGGTCCGAAGTATCGGCGTAGAAGTTTCTCTGAGAGGCCTCCTCGTCGTACAGGAAACCAAACCCAGACTCTATCTCCTGGTTGATAAATGACGAATCGATGGCGAAGGTTGTACCGTTGGGCGTCAAGTTGCTGCTGGTTAATTGTTCTGACGCGGGCAAGCTGCCTTGCTTCTTCGGCGCGCTCAGTGAAGTCTGCGGCGTCTGTCCCTGAGTCATTGCAATCGTAAGGCAGCATGGCGTCAAGCATTGTCATAACTTCTCTGCCATGAATTAAAGCGAACGGCGTCATTTTTGTTGTTTCCTGGCGCGCCGTATTATACGCGAATGTGGTGTACGGCAATATTCGGTCCAAATTCTTGTGTTCTACGTCGACGTACATGCAAAGCATGTCAGCGATTGTCTTGTTAAGCCTTTCTGTAAGCCCATTCGTTTGTGGGTGGTAAGCTGTCGTCTTCCTATGCGCTGTGCCACTGAGCGTAAGCACAGTGCGCAAAAGCTCGGCTGTAAACGCGGTACCTTTGTCTGTTATGGCGACAGCTGGAGCACCATGTCTCAGAACAGTGTTCTCAATGAAGAACTGGGCCGCTTCAGCTGCAGGGCCACTCGTGATTGCCTTGGTGTCCACGTATCGGGTGAGGTAGTCCGTCGCCACTATAACCCATTTGTTGCCGCTGTCCGATGTTGGAAATGGGCCCAGCAGATCCATTCCGATTTGAGAAAACGGGATTTCTGGCACGGGCAAAGGATGCAA